AGGATCAAATGTTGTTGTCCTGGCTTCAATCTACACTATCCAGTGAGATTCTCTCACGTGTGCTTGGCTATTCTCACTCTTATGAACTGTGGGATCGTCTTTTTAGTTATTTTCAGAAACAAACTCGTGCTAGGGCACACCATCTGCGTGTTGAATTGCATGCTCTTACGCTTGATACTTTCTGTTCAAAACTATCTACTGAAGATTCGTACCATTGTTGATGCGCTTGCATCCATTGGTGATCCTATTCCTGTATCTAATCACATTGATATTATCCTTGAAGGCTTGCCTGCTGAATTTGCTCCTGTTGTGTCTGTTATTGAAAGCAAATTTGAAGTTATGGACATTGATGAAGTTGAGATTCTGTTGTTGGCTCATGAGCTGCATCTGAACAAATTCAAGAAGCAACCAATTCCAGATTTGGTCTCTCTTCACCTAACTCATGCTGTGTCTCAGTCACCAGCAACAGATGAATCTCCAGCACCTGTCACTGATTCTTCCTCTCTCAATCTGGTCATTCTAACCAAGTGCAGGATTACCAACCGTTTAGAGGTGGAAAAGGTCATCGTGGTGGTAGATTTGGCCGTGGAAGAGGTGGCAGATCCTCCAACTTTAACATACAATGCCAAGTTTGCTCCAAGCCTGGCCATTCTGCACTACAGTGCTGGCACATGTTTAACTATCAGTTCCAGCCTACTGGTGCAAGCTATGTGCAACCTCAGTGGCAGGGTGCTAATGCTTATTACACTCAAGCACCACCTCAAGCTTCTCCTTATGTGTGGTCCAGGCCACCTACTGTGTCTCCTTATCCTCCCAACATTTCACAACCTCCAAGTACCTTTGTGGCAAATGCTTTACCATCCACATCAGGTTCCTAGTTTCCTGATTCTGGAGCTTCATATCATGTCACCAGTGATGCAAAGAACTTGCAACAAGTGACTCCTTTTGAAGGCCATGACTGGATTTACATTGGTAATGGACATGGTTTGGCCATTAAATCTGCTGGTTCAAGCTCCTTTCCTTCACCCTGTCACCCTACCACACGCCTCACTCTCAAGAACTTATTACATGTTCCTGCTATCACTAAAAACCTGCTTAGTGTCAGTAAGTTTTCTAAGGATAATCGTGTGTATTTCTTATTCTCAGCCGACAAGTGTCTTGTTAAATGTCAGGTGGTGTCTGATGCACTCTTCTTGAAGGTCATGTAGGAGCTGTGGGCTTTATGAGTTTCCTTTCATTGATGTTTCACAATCTGCTAAGACTTTGTTGCATTCTACTAGTTTTTCTTCCAATAATGTTGCACCTAGTGCCAATACTGTTTCTCTTTCTACTAGTTTGCCTTACATGTGGCATCTTAGGTTAGGACACATGCCTTAAAACTTAGTTTGCCTAACAGTCATGCCTTAAAACTTGTTTTGCAACATTGTAATGTTCATTTCAGCAATAAAACTTATGAGTTCAGACCATTTACTAAATACCTACTGATTTAGGTATTTTCCATCGCCTTATATGTCCACACACACACCACCAGAATGGTGTTATTGAAAGAAAGCACAAGCATATAGTGGATTTGGGGCTTACCTTGCTCAGTTAGGCTTCCCTTCCCTTAACCTACTGAGACTATGCCTTTTCTACTGCTGTATACCTCATTAACAGGCTGCCATCTGCTTCCATTAATTTTGAGGTTTCTTACACCCTTCTGTTTCATCAGCAGCCTGATTACAAGTTTCTAAAGGTCTTTGGTTGTGCTTGTTTTCCTCTCTTAAGACCTTATCTCTCTCAGAAACTTAACTTCAGATCTCAAGAATGTCTCTTTCTTGGATATTCCACATCTCATAAAGGCTATAGGTGCCTAGCTCCTAATGGCAGGCTATACATCTCAAAGGATGTCCTATTTAATGAGTTTAGATTTCCCTATCTAGATTTATTTTCTTCATCCAGACCTAGTTCTGCTCCCAGTCACAGCACTTTCTTGGCACCTCATTACTCTAGCCCCCTGTTGAGTCCTCTTACTCCACACATCACCACTACACAACCTCATCCCTCTAGTCACTCAAATGACTTCACACCCGCCTCTTCTGATCCCTCACCAGTTAATGCTCCCACCCCTGCATCTTCTGTCCCTGTGATTCCATCACCCACTAGTGGTTCTGCAGCATCTTCATCCAGTGCTGCCAGCAACTCCTCAGGGATTTTCCCTAGTCAGGCTGACTCTCCATCCAGTTCATCTTCAGCCACTGAACCTGAGTCACAATTTCCTCCTAATGCTATTCTTGTGGCTATTATCCCTCAAAATTCTCATCCTATGAAAACTAGGGCCAAATCTGGATTCACTCGGCCTAGACTGGATCCTAGGGTGCTTATTACTCACTCTGAGCCTAAATCTGTTAAACAGGCTCTTGCTGATTTGCATTGGAAGGCAGCTATGCAGGATGAGCTTGAAGCCTTACAGAAAAATGCCACATGGTCCCTTGTGCCCTTACCTCCCAACGAGAATGTCATTGGCTGCAAGTGGGTCTTTAGGCTCAAGGAAAATCCTAATGGCACCATCAACAGATAAGGCCAGATTGGTGGCCAAAGGATTTCATCAAAGGCATGGACTGAATTTTACTGAAATTTTTTCACCTGTCGTGAAGCCTGTTACTATCAGGATAATTCTCACTATTGCCATTACTCATAAATGGTCCATTCAACAGTTGGATGTAAATAATGCGTTTCTCAATGGGCTGCTTGATGAAGAAGTTTACATGGAACAACCTCCAGGATTTGTTCACTCCAATTCTACCTTGGTTTATAAACTCAACAAAGCCTTATATGGCCTAAAACAGGCTCCTAGGCAGTGGTTTGAGAGATTGCAATCAGCTCTTCTCAACCTCAATTTTAAAGCCAGCAAGTGTGACCCCTCTCTTTTCACATACTTCTCCAAAGGGCACTCTCTCTTTCTACTGGTTTATGTAGATGACATTATTCTCACTGGCAGTTCTACTGCACTTCTCAATGAGGTGATTCAAAAACTTAATTCTGCATTCTCCCTCAAACATCTCGGGGATCTCGAGAACTGCACTTCTCAATGAGGTGATTCAAAAGCTTAATTTTGCATTCTCCCTCAAACATCTTGGGGATCTTGACTATTTTCTGCAGTCAGCTAATGGCTCCATGCTTCTCACTCAAACTAAATATCTCAGGGACTTACTGCAGAAAACTAACATGTTAGAAGCCTGTTCTGTCAGCACACCCATGCATTCCACCTGCAAAACTTACCAAAACTGGGTCTGCAGCCCTCTCAGATTCCTACATGTACAGGTCTGTGGTTGGTGCCTTGCATTATGCCACTATCACCAGACCTGACTTGACCTATGTTGTTAACAAAGTGTGCCAGTTTATGTCACACGCTCTTGAATCCCACTGGCAGGCTGTCAAGAGGATTCTCAGGTACTTGAAAGGTACCCTTCATCATGGGTTATCTCTCACTCCACTTTCCCCTCATGCTTCCCCTTCTCTTCATGTCTATTGTGATGCTGATTGTGCTTCAGATCCAGATGACAGAAGAAGTACATCTGGTGCTGCTATTTTCTTTGGAGCTAATTTGATTGCCTGGTGGTCAAAGAAGCAACTAGTTGTTGCTAGGTCCAGCACTGAATCTGAATACAGAAGTTTAGTTCAAGCTACAGCTGATATCCTGTGGATTTAGACATTATTGCAGGAGCTATGCATTCAAACCAAGCCCCCCATCATACTGTGTGATAATCAATCTGCTGTTCTATTAGCTCACAATCCTGTCTTGCATTCCAGGACCAAGCATATGGAGATTGATCTGTTTTTTGTGAGGGAAAAGGTTTTGGGTAAGCAAATTCAAGTGCCGCGTATCCCTGGCACTGATCAAATTGCTGATGTGCTGACTAAGCCATTGGCTTCTACCAAGTTTCTGGAACTTATACACAAACTTAGGATAGCTAGCTCCCCTCAGTTTGGGTGGTGGGGGGGGTGGGGGGGGGGGGGGGGGGCTAGTCTTCTATTTGTATCAAAATATGACTGGCATCTGTTTTGTTTAACCTGTAATAGCAGGTTACCCTTGATGCTATATATAAAGCATCAAGGAACCTTTTGTAACTAAGTTTGTAAAGTAACAGAATTCAGTTACACAGAACTGAATACACTATTCTTCTCTTCTCTTCTTTCTAATAATTGGGACGGAGGAAATATTTAGTTGTGCTGTGTCCCCCAATAGTTTTGATACATTTGATTTTGAAAATATAGTTGTAACTAAATTGAACATAACACAACCATTAGTTTAGTACTCTGCAAAACAGGGAAATCATTCTGTCTTGGCACAGGGCTAATTTATTTAATAGCCAGAATGGAGAATTCCTACAAAACTGCCAAAACAGCATGAGTACGAAGTGTTCATAGTGGCACTTGCATAACTGAACTTCAACACTCACTCTTCTGCTATACGCCATTTAGTACGAAGTGTAGTCAACTAGCGGCTATAGCTAATAACACGGAAGCAGAGTAGAAATTAAACAAACTATTATTTTCAGCAATCTGCAATGTAGGATAACATTGAAGCTTTTCAGTTTCTCTAGAATTTGATGCTCTTTTGTAATTTGTATATTTATAATTCAATTTTTGGCAAAATCTAATGTTTATTTTCTGGTTTTGCTAACTTTGGGATAACTAGCAATAATTAAGCCAACGAAAGGATATAGTGGGTGGGAAAAGATTGCAAGTTTATTCTTTTGTTCAAAATATGATAATCTTACATGATCGGTCTTTTTTTATAAATCAGGACTTGGAAGGAGCAAGACTTGATGGTGCCAATTTGCTCGGATCAATCAGATAATATTTGGACCGAAGAGTGAAGATATTAAACATGAGAAGTTGGGATGTGGTTAAAGAATCTCAAGATGAGTTAACTTGGGAAGTTGAAAGTTGTCGTATTTCGAAAGTACTTACTATTGCTGCTCGTGAAGTTGTGCATTGGGGCGTTGATTGATGCTATGGTTGTACCAGCTGATGATCTTCTCCAACAGGCTGTCATTGTAAGAAGGAAGTCATTTAGGCTTTTCTTGTTCATATTTGGTATTTCATTGTGTGGTTTTTTGTTTATGTATCTAGTGAAAGAAAATTGCAATATTACTAATACTATTTATAATATGTGAACCATCTGGTGTATAGCACTGTTTCTAATAACATTTAAGCATGATCTGAATGGTTAAAAACCTGATAATTGTGATATGTATATGTAGCAGGGTCACCTGAGTGAAATGATGTTGGAGAACATGATAGGTAGCATAAAATAGATAATTATAAAATCAGTAAAGTTTGAGTTCTACACAGTATACAAAATTGTTGTCTAAAATTGTGAACAAAAATGTATTATGTAGATTGTATAATAGATATATAGAAGTTAAAGAATTTTTTTTATCTCACCAGTTATTAAACAACAAGAATGTTAACCTTAAAACTCTTATTTTACTTATATTGACTTCTCAATATGAAAGCCAAATATAAAATATGAACTAGAAGTATATTTGATTTTCTCGTATTTGCATGCATGTGTGCGTGTGTGTGCGTGCGCGCGCTTTGTTATAACATGTACGGGTCAATATACTCTTGTACATTTTAAATTTGTATTTGACTTTTTATATACTCTTGTTTAGAGTATTGAAAGATAAATATGTGATGTAATAATTTTTACATATTGTTATTCTTTGATTGTCACCTGGTAACTGTCATAGTTTTTTTCTTTTAGTTTTACAATTTTCACATTATATCTCTATTATAATTGTGTTTTTTATTTTCTTTATGTCTGTTTTCTCAACATTTGGAATCATGGTTTACTCGGACTTGCTAGGAGAGCAGAAGTTGGATTATGTGTTAGATCTTGTTATAGGATGTAAAAACTAACAATTGTGGGAGAGATTCTCGGGTTCAAATGTGAGGGATTAAGTCTCATATCTTGTACGAATAATAGAATGGTAAATTTATGAGAGAAGATTCATATACATGCATTAAAATTTTGGATTGAGACGTGGCATTTCATTCTTTTGTGGTCTTGGAGCATTGATCTCACATGGAACAAAGTTGCTTATGTGGATGATAAGTGTGTCAAATCTGAAATGGTTTTAGGGAATTTGCTGGTGTACAATGAATGTAGATTCACTACAATCGGCAATCAATGCATTTACGCATTCGATATATCATTGACCGTTTGATTGATATTTGATGGTTCAAAAATATATGTTTTAATTTTTGAATTATAATATAAAATATAAAACTTAAATATAATTCGTTTGATCTTGATCGAACAGTCACTGATGTATCGAATACATGCATCCGGTGACTCCAGGGAATCTGCATCCGCTTACAATCATCGACAATAAGAGATATTTTAGGATAAAATTGTGTACATGACATTTCATTCTTTTTTATAGCAAAGTCTTAGAGTTTTGAGAACCTAAAATCTTCTACGTATATTAGTTGTATGGATATTATTCGTTATATAATTCAATGCCCCTCCTTTAATTATTGATTTTGACTAGGTACTCACCTAAGACAGGTCCATGTTTGTTCTTGAGTTCTTAACATCTTTAGGACCATAAAAATAGGGAAATTCTTTCCCCACCATTACACCTTAGCCATCTCTAAAGAAATTCTATTTTTACTCTTAGAATTTGGAAATGTATCTCTGAACGTATTACATTTTATTTTTTTGAGATATTTTCAGAGATGTATTATCGAAACATTTTTTTTTCAAAATCAGGAGTGTTTCCGAGATACATCTCTACATTAGGGCATTATAGTAACAAATACGAACACCCACCTATCATTCTCATTTCTTTCAAATTCTAACTATCAAACACTCCAAAAACCTTCAAAATCTCTACTTTCAAAACTCATTCAAGTTTGTCTACTCATTTGCACTCGTTACAACTCACTCCAACTCTCAATTTCAACACATTTTAACGACTCTAAAAACTTCAAATTTGAGTAAGTTCTCCAATCCCTTTGCATTTGTATTTTAAGTTGTTTAGATTATGTATATTCTGTAAAAAAAAGCTTGCTTTTATGTGTAAAAATTGGATTTTGGTGTAAAAATGATGTTGTTAGGTTGAAGCTTTAGTTATGAAAGTCGCAGGTATTTTCGAAGATACATCTCCGAAAAGTCCTCCGAGGAGTTTCAGAGATGCATCTTCGGAAATATGTCTTAAGTTTTTTTTTAAACTTTCAAACATGTTCTTGGTCGTTCCTTTCCTTTGATTAACAATTATTTGTTTTTTCAGAAAAATAGCAGAGAATTCCAACAGATTGAGATTTGGTAGGCCTAGTCAAATTGCATCTGCTCGATGAGAGAGAGCTCTGAGTAGACTACGAGGCGTCGAGGATGCGGTCGGGTATCGTGGGAGGAAGTGGAGGGAACATCGACTTCTGCTCCGAGGAGTTTTCTTTCACGTGGTTCATTGTCTAGGGATTACGAGGATGAGGAACCCGAGTGGGTTCAAGTTCCGGAACACGAGTGGGTTCAAGTTCCAGAACCCGAGCGGGTTCAGGCTCCGGAACCCGAGCGGGTTCAAGTTCCAGAACCCGAAATGATCGATGTTCTGGAAGTCGAAGAGGAGACTATCCCGAGTTTTTCAAGAGGACCGTCTGACACCTCCCTCTTGATCTATTACACCGATCATGTCGCTTAATATGTTTCGGAAGGACATGTATATTATTTTTATTACACTTTTCATTTTAATAATTTACGCACTATGTTAAAATTGATATTAATTATTTATCTTTACAGGAATGGCCACTAAAGTGTGTGAACAATGCGCAAAAGGTATCTGAGCTGTATCACCCTGATGAGGATTGGTTCAGAGATGCCATCTTTGTCTCCGGAATTCCCGACCTTTGTTGTTTCGATTACAACACCATCATCCACAACATGCAGGGCACATTTTTTGAGAGGTGACACAAGGAGATGTCAACTTTCCACTTGTCGGTTGGAGAGATGACGATCACACTTAATGACGTCGTTTGCCTGCTACACCTTCCTATAAGAGGGAGGTTACTTAACCACTCCCAGATCGATCATAGTGATGCGACTGAATGGATGGTCGACTATTTGGGATCTGAACCAGAAGAGAAATTTAAGCAGTGTTTCTCCACCAATGGAGCTCATGCCAAGTTATCATTCCTTAAGAACCTATATCACCAGCACCTCTCAGCGGTAACTGATTCTGAGTCAGAGGGAGATGACTTCTTTGTTCTTTATCACCGTTAATGTGCTCTAAGGTGTTACTTAATATTCTTGGCTGGCACTTCCAAAAGATGAATGAAGCCTCTAACTGGAGGGCACGACAACTGTCAGGCTCTGCTACATTGTTGATAATAATTATCATTTCAACTATTAAATCTAATTTACTATTAATAACTATAATTTGTTCTTACATGAATTTTATTCGTTTTTTAGAGCTGAATTATTTCTCACTTCTACTGCATACATGGTTTTGTGTTGGATATGCAGTATAGTGATCACATGCCGAAGGCTGCTTGGTGTGCCCCCCACAGAGGGAGCTAGGCTGTGCTATCATTCCAGGTGTATCTGGATCAGACTGTCCAAGATGACATTCTATGGACGTCGTTCGAGGATCACCGGGAGATTATCCTGTTCGACTCCATGTCAATGTACTCTAGGTGGTTGGCATGTGAGACTAACACTATGGTCAGGTATCTGCCGGAGCAATGCATTCGACAACTTGGCTATGTAAAGATCATACCCAGATCTCTTTTTCAGGCTGCTCTCGACACCATTGTTCGTCGGGAGCTCGATGACATCTTCCAAGATTAGGAGAATCATATGGTTCCAGAGGAGTGTCGGATGATGTGAGCATCCAGCAACAGACATTCTATTAAGGGATATGTGACATGGTTTTATACAGTGTCACATCCTATCATGATATCAGATGCTCCTGGACGTCCACCTAGGTCAGCTCACGAGGAGATCTTAGAGAACCAGCAGGCTGAGGATGACCATGTCATTGATCTCTTGTCGATCTATCAGCGAATACAAATGATTGGGCTATAGGCTTTGTACATATGTATTATTGACCAGGGCGGTCCTGAGGCGGTGACCATTGTAGAGAGGGTGATTGGAGAGGCAGAGAGTGCGACGGGATATAATAGACAGAGGAGAGGCCATAGAGTAAGGATTAGACGTACGCAGTAGATTATGCCTTCTTTTTTTTTAATTTCAGAATAATTTATGAATAATTATTGTATTATTTTTTTAAGCAATTTATTGTGTATATTATCGTTTTTTATGTCTTATCAATTTTCATTTGCATTTTTATTATCGTTTTCATCTAATTATTTATCAACATATTGATAATTTTAAAAAAAATATCACTATCCAGAATTTCAGAGATGCATCTCCAAAAGAACCAAATAACGTCCAAATTCAAATAAATTATTTTCAGAAATATATCTCTAAAATACTTTAATTTATGAAACATTCGGAAACGTGTCTCTGGAAAATATTTTCGAAAGTTTATGTCCATCTATAAGAGATATAAAAATAAATTCTCAAAAAACTAAAATCCTTAATTTTACGTCATTTGATCTGATCTCAGATCAATCAAGATCAAATTCTCTTTACTCTTGACCGAACATAACTTTTTTTCTTAAAAAGTTGTAGCCTTTAGGATATAGTATTTAATTTGAACGATGGTTGTTTTTTGGTTTTGTGTCTAAACTAATACAAATAGTAAAATTTCTTATCAATTCTCCATATATTTTTCTAATAGTAAGTCATTTTTCTTCTTCGTATTTTCTTAAATATACGAGAAAAGTAGTGATGTAGTGATCATATAAATTAATTTCATATTATCAACTAATCACAATTTTATATTATAATAAATTTTATTTTAATTTTAAAATCCGTTTAATAATAAAATAATTTATTATTTTTTATTGAATGACAATATAAAATAATTTTACACATAAATATAAATTAAATCTAATATATAATGTATTGTGTTTTATAGTATATATTGTTTACTTTAAAAAAATAAAGTATAATAGAGTCTTTTATATGTAACTGATAATATATTTATATAATATTTTATTTTTTAATATAAAATATTTATATATAACTCTTAATATTAACTCCTAAACATTACGTGGTATAACTACATAAAAATAACACATTCATGTCAAACCTAACTAGCATTCAAATTATATTTATTATATTATTGTTTTGTAATACTCACGCAAAAATACGACCATGTACTAATTATGAGGTTCATAAAAAATATATAAATTATGAGTTTCTTTATATTAGTAAAAAAAAAGTGCAATTTGTGTTATATAAACTTTTTTTTTTTAAAGTTTAGCACTTTGTATTGATTTCTTTTTATTAACACTTCTTTTAAAAAATATAAAAATAATACATATATTACATTCTATCTCAATTATATATTTTTTTAATTATTACATTTGTTTATATGCTAGAGCTAATATATATATAATTGAATACATGTAAACATTCATATAAATTATGTTTGATACACTTTATTATATTTAAATATTTTGAATTTAATTTATAAATTATCAACAAAAAGATATTTTAAATATAATAGGATTAAAAATGTTTATTGTATTTGATCTTACCTGATCAGACTTGGACCGTCACGACTGGCTCCGAGCTGAAGTTTGAACGAGATGGGGGGTACCTGCAAGGCACTCTGATGCTGAAGTAAGTGAGAGTACGAGCAGGCAAAAGTATGAGTATGGATAAAAGAATGAATACCTGACCCTCTGGGAACAGAGGGTATTTATAGCCCCCAGCGCTGGGCCAAGGTCCCTTCATTGGGCCGGGCATGTTTTGCCCAATGAAGGAACTGCCAGGTTCTACGTGTGTAGTGAGGACCCGCACGTGGTCTCTTTCCTGGATGTTCTGCGAGAAGTACGGACGGACGAGGACGCGGTCTTTTCGGGATCCAGGTGATGGTGTAGTGGACAGAGTCTGCCCTACGATGGGCGCTAGAGCTGAGGTCGAGCTGGACTGCATAGGGGTCGAGGATGGCGTACCAGCGGAGAGTGTCGGGCACGACTATGGCTTCTTGGTTGGCGCGACCCCCTGCAAGGCCGTTTGGATTGGGCCTTCATCCTTGCTTTTGGGCCAGCCCGGCCCAGTCCAGAACAGGAGCCCCCCAAGTCGTGGTTCCTGGAGTAGGAGCCATGACTTGATCTTAGGCCGCCTCCGTCACGGGGTCCCGTGCCCGGCTAAGAGACGTAGTTCCCCGCTGTTTGCTCGAGGGGTTTCCCATGTGTCGGGCTCGCGAGATAATTCCTTTCGAGGAGTGCTCGGGGGAATCTCGACGGGCTGTGTTCGTTGAGCACACGAGGCATATCTTGGGAACCGTGCCGCCACCCTACTGACGATAGGGTCATCATTGCATAGGGGAGCTACACGTCGAAGAGGGAAGTTTTGTGGTTCCCCGGGGTGACGTTTCGTATTCCACGTCATCACTATAAATAGGGTCCTTGGGCCCCAGAACGTGTTTTTCCTCTTCGCGCTTCTCCTCCTTCCTCTGCTTCTGCTTCTGCTGTTCTTCCCAGATATTCATAGGACCGCCGTGATCTCCGTCGCCGATTCCCCTTTCCGCCGTCGCACTTCTTTCCTGATTCCAAGTAAGCGTCTCGTCTCCTTTGCTTTTCCTCTGTAATGCATGATATTTTTCATTGTTTTTAAACATTTAGAGACTGTACTCCTGGGATTAGCCCCGATATATTCGTATTTAGCTCGACAAATCCATGTTTATGCCCGGCGAACGCATGTTTAGGTATTTGACTCGCAGTGCTGCCCAGGATCTTCATGATTCAGGGTGCCTAATTCTTGGTAGTGCCCGGTAAACTCATGGCTCTAGTTTTGAGATTCATGATATCGCTCGCTGCGTTCATAGCCCAGGTCGACATATTCGTGAGTGGTCGAGATGTTGGCCCACTTAGGCGATCTGTAGGGAGACTTGTCGTGGTATCTGGGAGTCGGGGAGGTGACTTCTCTTTTTGTTTCGAGACACCAACTTTTTTATCGCGCGTGGAGTGATATGACTTGTCGCGCTCTTCATCCCGTCCGTTATGGCGAGCGTGTGGATTTGCTCCCCAATTGACCGGTTTCCTGTGCTTTGTAGGTAACCATGGCCGACGAACCGTGTTCCTCGGGGCGCACTGAGGTGGAAGACCAAAGTGCCGAGGAGAATGTGAATTTGGTCGATACTATCGACGACCCTTTGCTGGAATGGGTGGGCGACGAGCCCAAAGGGATTGCTTCGGCATATAGTCGACGCAGTCGAAGTGCGTTCACCATCATCGAACAGGGCGGTAGTCAGCCCAGTTTTCAGAAGAACTTTGTCGTCACTAGGCCGACTCTTACTGCCCGAATTTGCTCGGAGTTCCCCGAGTATGGGTTCCTGATGTACGAGATTGCTTTCAAGGACCTGGGGTTAAAGCTCCCCTTCAGCGATTTTCAGGTCGGGGTTTTCAGCCATCTGGAGCTGGCCCCGTCGCAGCTTCACCCAAACTCGCTTGCTTTCATCCAGGCGTTCGAGCTGACGTGTCGGTTTCTAAGGATTGGGGCGACCATACCCCTCTTCTTCAGAGTCTTCCACTTACAGCGCCAGTCCCGGGGAGGTAGGCATAGCTG